TTTCTGGACTTTTCCTGGGCACGCTCAATTTCTTTTCCTTTCCATTTCTTTAATGCCATCACAATCGAGAACTTCTTTGCCTCTAAAATTATGAATCCCTGGGTAATGGTTAATTCTAAGTGAAAACAGTTTTAGGTTGGCGTGAAAGTAATTTTTTTTTTTTAAAGTCAGGATCTCTTGTCCAGGCTGGAGTGCAGTGGCACCAGCATGGCTCACCACAGCCTCCTCTCCTGGGCTCAAGCGATCCTCCTGCTAGAGCCTCCAGAGTAGCTGGGACTACAGGTGCATGCCTCAACACCTGGCTAATTTTTTGAAAAAAGTAAATTCCAAATTTTTGAAGGAGGCCAGATATTCAGATTTTTACATCAAAATTTCCTGATTTTTAAAATATTGTAACAAACAAAACACACTTTTGAACCAGTTTTTATTTTGTCCTTGTCCCCATCAACAGTTTTGGCCCTTGACCCTGTAGTAATCCAGTAGTGTGGGCGTAAGTCTCCCCCTGCCTCCTGGTGGTGACAAAGTTCTGTGAAGGTGAAGCCATCCCAAGCAGGTAAAGGAGCTGTGGCACTAATGGTGGTGTGCAATGACCCAGGAGTTGGGTGAAGTAAGAAAGTACAGTCTATCTGAAGGGAAGCTGAGGACTATGCTCTTTTCAGACAACGCTCCTGCCACCCAGTTGTCCTCCGGGGTGCTCCTACTGCGGATGGTCAACTCAGCATGTGTCTAAACCGGGGTCTCAAGGCCAGGCAAGAATGAAACCCAGGGCTGTGGTTGTAACATTGTGCTGCTCAGACAAAACACATCCTCAGGCACTATCTGTGGCCCTGAAAGCCTTCTGGAACCTACTGATCGATTTGACCTGTTCTTCCTCTTGAGCTAATACATTCCATATGTTTAGCTACCCTCTTGTGTAGAGTAAGTTAGGAAAAAATAAATAAAACTCGTTAAAGCTATAGGAAAGTGGAGAAGAGTAAGGCTAGGGGTTTGATGAATAAGCCCATGTTCATATATTTATGTGCATCTATATATATGTACAAATCAGTTGAACATACTTTCAGTACTTCTCAAGGTTTTTGGATTGTGACTCAAAGAAATGCAGTACACACATACATTGAACCATATGACGTTGACTAGCCTGTGGTTCCAGCTACCTGGAAGGCCGAGGCGAGAGGATCACCGGAGTCTAGTAGGTAGAGGCTGCGGTGGCTATGAGCAGGCCACTGCACTCCAGCCTGGGTGACAGAGTGAGACTCCAACTCAAAAAAGAAAGAAAGAAAGAAAGAGATGGGGTCTGCCAGGCATAGTGGCTCACACCTGTAATCCCAGCACTTTGGGAGGCTGAGGTGGGAGGATTGCTTGAGCCCGGAGTTCAACACAGCCTGGGTAACAAACTGAGACCCCATCAACAACAACAACAAAAATTAGCTAGGCATGGTGGCACGCACCTGTAGTCCCAGCTACTTGGGAGGCTGAGGCAGGAGGATCGCTTGAACACAGGAGTTCAAGGTTGTGGTGAGCCATGACCATGCCACTACACTCCAACCTGGATGCGTCTCAAAAAATAAAAAGAGAATAGGTCTTGCTTTGTTATGTTGCCTAGGCTGAAGTGCAGTGGCTATTCACAGGTGCCATCCCACTACTCTAAGTTTTTGTTTTTTTTTTTTGAGTTGGGGACCTCACTCTGTCGTCCAGGCTGGAGTACAGTAGCATGATCATGGTTCACCACAGCCTCGACCTCCTGGACTCAGGCAATTCTTCAGCCTCAACCTCCCCAGTAACTGGGACTACATGTGCATGCCACCACACTGGGCTAACTTTTTTTTTTTTGTAGAGATGAGGTCTCACTATGTTGCCCAGGTTGGTCTCAAACTCCTGGGCTCAGCAATCCTCCCGCCTCAGCCTCCCAAAGTGCTGGGATTACAGGCATGAGCCATAGCACCGTGCCCAGTCGGAAACTTATTATATTTTATTTTATTTTATGTGTGTGTGTGTGTGTCAGTCAGAGTCTCCCGCTGTTGCTCAGGCTGGAGTGCAGTGGCACACTCCTGGCCACTGCAGCCTCAACCTACTAGACTCAGGCGATCCTTCCACCTTAGATTTCCAAGTAGCTGGAACTACAGGCGAGTGCTACCACGCCCGGTTTATTTTTTGATTTATGGTAGAGATGAGGTCTCATCAAGTTGCCCAGGCTGGTCTTGAACCCCTGAGCTTAGGCGATCCTCTCGCCTCAGCCTCCCAAAGTGCTGGGATTACAGGCTTGAGCCACCACGCCCCGCCTTTTATTTATTTATTTATTTATTTATTTATTTGAGCTAGAGTTTCACTCTGTCACCCAGGCTGGAGCGCAGTGGCACGCTCATCGCTAACCCAGTGTTGACCTGCTGGGCTTTGGCGATCCTTCCGCCTCAGCCTTCCAAGTAGCCAGAACTACAGGCATGCACCAACATGCCCAGCTAATTTTTTGATTTATGTAGAGAAGAAGTCTCGCCACGTTGCTCAGGCTGGTCTCAAACCTGTGGGCTCAGGCAATCCACTCACCTCAGCCTCCCAAAATGCTGTGATTAAAGGCGTGAGCCACTGTCCTCGGCTAACTTATTCTTTTAAATGCTGGTTGCAGCATACTAGGTAGATATGACTACTACTACCACTAATGGGTCACCAATTGCTTTATTTAATCCTCTCAACAACTTGTAAGGCAGGAATCACATCCCCTTAAACACACCAGGATGTTTTATTCCTAGGATGATGTGCCTTACCCCAGGTAGCTCCCACTAACTATTCACTGACCACTTTAGTTTTTATCTTATAAAATCTGTGTTAAGAACCTCATGGGGGCAACCCTCTTTCAGATCTCCTCCCACTTGGGGCTTTTCTTGTCTCCTTAATAAACTCCTGCTTTCTCACCTCTGAAGGAAAAAAAAAAAAAACCTCATGGGATGGATATCAACATTGAGGAATATGGAATTTGAAGAGTTCAAATCACTTGTTTTCAGGCACAGGGCTACCAAGAGACAGATCTGAATAATCGCTGTAACAAAGTCCAATTTATTTTCACTGCCTTGGAGCAAAGACCCAGACCTAGAATCTGGCTTTGCAGCATCCTAGTTCTAACCTTTTTTCCTTTTTTTTTTTTTTGAGTCGGAGTCTCACTCCGTCGCCCAGACTGGAGTGCAGTGCTCCCGGCCACCGCAGCCTCGACCTGCTGGGCTCCGGTGATCCTTCCGCCTCAGCCTCCTAAGTAGCTGGAACTACAGGCGCGCGCTACCACGCCCGGCTAATTTTTTGATTTATTGTAGAGATGAGGTCTCGCCAAGTTGCCCAGGCGGGTCTCGAATCCGTGGGCTCAGACAATTCACTCACCTCAGTCTCCCAAGGCGCGGGATTACAGGCTGAGCCACCGAGCCCGACCAGTTCTAACCTTTAAAAACTTTTAAAAATATCCTTTGGAGTTTTTTCAGAAAGGGCGTGTGTGTGTGTGTGTGTGTGTGTGTGTGTGTGTGTGTGCGCGCGCGTATGTCTGCTAGATTGCTTAAACTTTCTGTCCAACTACACTTTCTGGCCTTTGCACCGGCTGTGGGGTGGGCTTTATGCTCGGGACCACCCCCTCCCCCAACCCAGCCTGCAGCTGGAAGTCTTCACTTATCTCCATCTCTCCTCCCTGCCCCCATCGGGACGTGGAGGCCTACTGTCTCTCCCCCTTCCCCCCCTTGCCTTTTCCAGATGTAAGTCTGCCAAAGAACCCCCCCAGTGTAGAGGATGATGAATGAGGACCTAGGAGTCGGCCTTGGTGGGAAAGTGTCGCCGCCTAGAAAAGAGAGGGAAAGGGAAGGGAAGTAGGGGGTGGGCAGGGATTTACAGCGGGGCGGCTGGGAGCGCGACGAGTCTGGACACCTGGGACCCAAGCCCCCTCCGCTCGGTCAAGAACTTTGCCTCCCTTAGGTATACGTGAGGAGGTGTTCCAACCAATCCCCGCGCTCCTTCCTTGGAGTCCGGTCTGTATTTTCTCATTTACTGCAAAGCCCACAATCCAGTCTGGGGATCCCCCAGTGTTTGCTTCCAACCCTCCCAGTACCCGTTTCCCAGCGCTGCTCTGCAAGACCGCGCTCGTCCTCTCGCAGGCTTCCTCTCCACAGGTCCCACCCAATTTTCTCTACCTTTCTCTAATTCAGGGAGGCGGAGTCGTGCATCCTCTCCGGTTCCTTTAAGAGCCGCCGGCTCCGCCCCTTTCGGAGTCGCGGTCTGACGCGGGATGACAGCAGCGAGTTCGGTATGTCTATGCAAATAAGCGCCGATGCGGGCCAATGGGGAGCGGAGGTGCCGGAACCGCGGACCAATGGGGCGGGGGCACTGGGGCTCACCATATAAGGAGCGGCCTCGCCATAAAAGGAAACATTGTATCTCTTTATATGGGGGGAAGGGTCGGGGGATCCCTCCGCCGCCAGCGCGTGGTCCCGGCCCCCTCCACCCGCCGTCTCGGT